CTTGTCATGTCTGAAAAAATGGGCATAATAAATAAATAAATAATAAATCCATCTCTGTCTTTTTGGTATTTGTGAGGATTGTGAAGCAACTCATATAGATGTCAGCACAGGGCCTGATCCATAGGAAGCGTTCCAGAAAAGTCACTTATTTTAATTTCTATCTTATAGAGAAAAGAATTGTGGCTGACAGACGTTGGATGATTTACTCAAGGTCACACAGCATGTCCACCGTGGCAAAAGTGGGATTTGAAATCCGGGCCCAGAGAGGGGAATGGCTACCCAGCAAAAGGGAAATTTGGTGGGCAAAGGTCCTCTTTGGGAATGTCCCTTTTTGGGAATCCCGGTGCCACCATTGTGAGTGTGCACAGCTGTCACTGTCAGCATGGACTCCATTAACTGCTGCCCATGGTCATGTGAATGGCACTTGTATTCATCTCTAGGTGGCTTTTAGATCTTCTAAGGGTTCTCCCCATGATTAACTATTTTCCCATTCACAACACAGAGGCATGGTCAGGGTAGGTATTAAGCTCCATTCTTCAGCTGGACACACAGGGCAGAGGGGCTGATGGTGGGCGAGTGGGTTCTGGGAGGCAGCAGCTGCCCAGGAAATGCAAGGTCAATGTTCAATGTTAGGTAGTTCTCAAGTTCTCACTCTGGTTAATGTCAAAAGCAAATGGCTGATGTTAGTATGATTCAGTAAAGTGTTTTTGATGGGGATGTACTTATTCTAGAATCTCAGAGTCATAAAATCATGGACTTTTTGGTTGGAAGATGCTCTAAAACTTGCTGGATCCTCCTCATTCCTATATGTCGATAGGGTCTCAACATTACTGCCAAGTGCTGTCCTCCTTCTGTCTGGAGCACAGAAAGGCTCTGGGGTTAATGTCCTCAACTGAGTCACTGGGGACTGGAGTAGGATGTTGGTGGAAGCTTGCAGATCTTTCCCTTCCCAAACGTGGCCTCTCTAAACCAGGCAGGAGGGACGAATTTGACTGGAGCCCTATGGATTCTGTCTGTTCCCCTCATTGACTAATCTCTGCTGAGAGATGGGGAATTTTCTGGGGGTCTCCTTCATGAAAGGGAAGCCCTGGGAAGGACTTACTCTCTGTCCCTGAGCCTCAGTTTATGGATCTATAAAATGGGAATGTTAATCTCACAGGAAGTGCTTAGTCCTGTCTGGGGACTGAGCGGCCCCCATGGACTAGAGGCTGTTTAGCTGTCACTGTTATTTTGAGGAATAAGAATACTGGGTTATTGTCCTGACGTGATTCAGGTGGGAGGCTTGGGTTCCCATCAACTCACTGACTGTGTATTACCTGTTCTCTCATCTGTAAGACAAAGAGAGTAGTACTTCCTGTAAGGCAGGGTAATTTACTGAGGAATCACTGGTGTTTTTTATTTGCTGCTGCTGCTAAGCCTTGGAAGGAAGCAGAGTTTTCGCTTCCCCGGCCAAGGAAGGTGGTGGAGTCTTGGAGCTCCAGGTCTGGGGGTTCCCGCCTCAGAGGTGCATGGAGGGTGGTTTTGCTTTGGGGCCCCAAACAGAAGGAGGTTGGCACAGAAGACAACCCTTCTCCTTCTTTACGGGAAGTAGAGACTGAAGGTGGGGAGGCAGAGATGAAGGCACAGAGTGGAGAGTGGCAGTGTGGGGTAATGGTTAGGGGCTGCTTGGTAGTCATGGTGAGTGTTCAGAGTCTCAGTCTCTTCATTTGTCAAGTGGGGCTGCCAGAGGCCGTGGGGAAGGCCGGGTGAGACCCTTAGCGTGATACCTGTAGAGCAAATGCTTATCTTGGTTTGGGTTCCCCAGAAGCAGACCCTGAGAGCAGGGTTTGAGTGCAGGTGGCTGATTTGAGAGGTGATCCCAGGAGTTGCTGGTAGAAGAGGAAAGAGAGGTGGAGAAGGAGCTGGCCCAGAAAGGTGTGTTCGAGCAAGTGACCCCCGTGGGCACCTGAGCTCGGACCTGTAGGGTGCTGTGTGGGGTTGGAGTTGCCCCCTGCCCCAGGCGGTGAGGAAGCGGGTTATTTATCCATCAACCTCCAGGAAGCCCCTCCTCCAGAAAGAGGTCATGGGTGGCTGGAACCCGGGAGCCATGGCTATTTCGGAGAAGTGCCTCAGACTGGGTGTTGGAGCCACTGTCCTCTGAAGGGTCGTGGGTGGAACAGGGATCCCATCATTGGAACCAGATGGGACCAAAGACCAGAGAGAGGCCCTACCCCATTTTCCAGGCTCCTCGAAGCCCTCCTTCCCCTCAGATCCTTGCACGACCCTAGGGAGCCAGGAGGGACCTGCCCCAGACAAGATGGAGGTTGACTTTCTCATCTTCCTGGTCAGAGATGGTTCAAACCTCAGACTCAGTACGATTTAGAGAAACAGTGGAATGTGATGTGTGGAGAACAGATGGCAAAGTTGTGTCTGGGAGTTGGGGGTGTATGTGGAAGCTGCGGAGCCTGGCACTCAGCAACTGCCCAGCAAGTGTTTGCTGACCCTGTGTAAGTGTCTCGAGCAGGGTCTTGTCCTGTCCCCTGGTGTCCCTCTTGGCCTCGCCCATGTCTTGTAGATAGGAGAAGTTCCTTCCTGGCGGCCTTCCCAGGCTGTCACCATTCGCCTGCCTGTTTACACCCTGAAGGTGGTAATGCCTTTTCCTGAAATACCCAATGTCCCATCCTCTGAGGTCCTTTGTGTAACTGAAGACCTCTGTGTCCTGGGACAAGCCTGAGTCTAGAGAACAGGGGCCCTATTGTCTGTCTTGAACCTGCTAACATCAGGGAGACAATGGCAGTCACACACTGTCCAAGTGGGAGGGGCCTTTAGTGATAAGGCCCAACATCCTGAAGTCCAGGTAACAATAGTACGATGACATCACCCACAGATGACATTGTCTGAGTACCTTCCATGTGCCAGGAACACTTCTCTCTCATTTCCTCCTCATGATAGCCATTCAAGGTGGGGACTACGATTCTCCTCATTTTGTAGGGAGGGAAACTGAGGCCCATAGAGGGGAAGCCACATCCCAAGGGTCAAACTACTGTTGAGGGGTCATGCCAGAATTCAAACCCTAGTTCATTTCTCTCCAGAGTCACACTGTTCAGAGAGCCCTCAATCCATCACACTAGATCAACAAAACATGTGTCCCCCACCAAAGAGATGGTTCCACCATAGGTGTTATTGAGGCTGACACAGAAGGAAGGAGGGCACAAATGACTGCCTTATTCCTGAAACCCAGGGAAGCAGCCATGATCTTGGATGTTATCTTTATATAGTCCACGCATGGCCCAGGCATAGCTCGGGCATAGGCCAGATTGGCTGAGATGTGCCTAAACATGACTCTGATGTGGCTTGGATGTTCAGTTCCCAAACCTGCAAATGACTCCTGAGTTGGGACAAAGATACACTCCACGCTGTGGGAGTCACAGACAAGTATTTATTTATTGCAGAGAGAGACAGTCTACAGAGCTGGCTTCCATACTCCTACTGGGACCCAGCCTGCCCTGGATGGCCATCATCCAAGTCTTCACGGGAGACAAGAGGGTGGTCCGGGGCTCTACTGGGAGGCCGGGGTGATCACAAGAGAATCCTTGAGTTGGAGGAGAAAAACCAATTCAGCGTTTTACCCCCTACCTTGTTGTGGTTTATGCTGGTGTATCTTCTACAAGGTGACCGCTGGCTTTGGGAATCATGACCCTGAACTCACACAGAATTCTTGGAAGGGTCAGAGGAGTAGGGTCTGTCTGTGAACAGTGATACTGTGCAGGGGTCTGGAGCACAGGTAAAGTGTCTGCATGCAAAGTATGGGATTGTGTAGGACTGTCGTCCCCGAGCCCAGGTGATCACCAAAACTCCCCAAGAAGTTTCATAAAATGCAGATACTTAGGTGTATTCACTGGGTCCAGGCAAGCTAACTTTTTAACAATGCTCTTTTTTTTTTTTTAAACTAAATGTGATGGAAGGAACTTAACCTATTAGATTTCCCCCAATATTTTATTATGATAATTATTAAACAGAGCAAAGTGGAAAGAATTTTCCAGTGAACACTTGTATACTTAGCACCTAGTTTCTGTCATTAGCTTTTTCTAAACCATACTTGCTTTATCTCATATCTATCTACTTATTCATTCCTCCGGCTAGCTTTAAAAACATATACACATCTATAAAAAGGAAATCGATGGACTGCTATCTCAAAACAAATGAATAGAGCAAAACAGGAAACTTGGAAACAGACCCAAAGAATGAAACGATACCTTTCCAACCCAAAGTACAAATGATGGACCATGCAGTGCAAGTTGATTTAAAAAAAAAAATAGAGGAAAGTAGCTAAATGCCTCCTAAGGAGAGGTATGTGAAATAAACCAAGCTCTAGCCATTTAGTTGTATGGACACTGCTGTTCATCCAACATGAGTTGAGTGTAGTATGTATTTTAGATAAACTGCTTATATTTTAACTGGATCATTGCAATGTAGTCCATTAGAGTAAGGCCTGTGTATTCATACATCTGCTGGGTTTTATGGATGAGAAAGCTGGGCTCAGGCTGAAGGACCTGCCTGAGGTCCATGGCTAGAGAGAGGCAGAGCTGGGATTGAAATGGTCCTCTGGTTTCTGAGTCTAGACTTTCAGCCTCTCTCTGTACTATCCACAGTGCTGTCCTTGTTTTTGTCTATCACAGCCAGCTGAAGGGTAGACACAAATTTTGGGTGTGGGCAGCTGGTAGTAAGTCATCCACAACTTGCCTTGGAAGCTAGTTAACAAAGCTTCCTACCCTGCCACCAATGTGATCTCGTGGCATGTGGAGAGGCATTTCTGAGACTTCTTTCCTTTGTGAATTTCTCCAGAACTTAATAATTCAGGAATTCACTGATACCAATCCACAACTTTAGGAAAATCAGGACTAATAGGAGTTTGGCCTTCTGGCCTTAGGTTGGACACCTTGGCCATGGAAGGGTGGGCAATCACCTGTGGATTTTCTTTTCTTTTTTTAATTTTCTTTTTATTTATTTATTTAAAAAATTTTAATGTTTTATTTATTTTTGAGGGAGAGAGACAGAGCACGAGCAGGGGAGGGGCAGAGAGAGGGAGACACAGAATCTGAAACAGGCTCCAGGCTCTGAATTGTCAGCACAGAGCCCGACGCGGGGCTCGAACTCACACACTGGGAGATCATGACCTGAGTCAAAGTCAGACACTTAACTGACTGAGCCACCCAGGTGCCCCTCTTTTTCTTTTGTTTTAAAAATCTTATTTATTTTGAAAGAGGGAGAGAGAGACCAAGAGAGAGAGCGTCCCAAGCAGGCTCCATGCTGCTTAACAGAGACTGATGCAGGGCTTGATCTCTCATGAACTGTGTGATCATGACCTCAGCTGAAATCAAGAGTTGGACATTCAACTGACTGAGCCACCCAAACTCCCTGGATTTTCTTAATTCTTAATAATTCTGCTTTCAGGGCACCTGGGTAGCTCAGTTGGTTAAGCATCCTATTCTTGGTTTCAGTTCAGGTCATGATCTCACGGTTTTGTGGGTTCGGGCCCTGCATCAGGCTCTGCATCAGTGCGGAGCCTGCTTGAGATTCTTGGTCTCTCTGTCTCTCTCTCTCTGCCCCTCCCCAACTCATGCTGTCTCTGTCTCTCTCAAAATAAGTAAATAAACTAAAAAAAAAAATCTGCTTTCAATGTCTCCCCCACTTAGAGTGGACTAGAAACTCCAAGAAGGCAGGGGTTTCTGTCTGTTTTGTTCACTGTTGTGATCAGTGCCTGGTACACAGTAAGTGCTTAATAAATGCCTGCTGACTGGCTGGCTGACTGAGAGGAGCCCACCTCACTGTCATTGGCTCCTGCAGAAGTTGGGGACCAAAGCAGGTGTTATGAGGGCAGGTGCAGAGTGCAGATCCCAACTTTGCCACCTATTGTGTGTGTCCTTGGAAATGGATTTGTCATTCACGAGTCTCAGTTTCTCTGTCTGCAAAATGGGGATATACCACATAGGGTGAATGTGAAGACTGAACAAGATGCTGTTGAATGGCACAGAGTGATTATGGGCTATTAAATATTGTTAATGATAATATTTGGGGGTGGGAGTGATGCTGTGATAGCCTCACTCCCTAGTAGGTGCCAAGGGGACATTGCTCAGCGAGCATCTATTAAGCATTTACGGTGTGCCAAGCCTTGCTGAATGAATGAACAAATGAATGAATGAGTGAATGAATGAATAACAGGTCGAACAGAAAGAGCCGGAGACAAATGCACCCCAGGCTAGGACAGTCGCACTCTTACACTTATAGATGAAGAAGTGAGGCCACGAGAAAAGAAGGGACTTGTCCAAGGCCCCCCATGAGTGACCAGTGGGGTCAGCATTGGAGTGCGGGCCCTACCTCGCAGCTCAGGGCTCTCCCCAGGAACTGTGCCCTCCCTGGGGCAGGATGTTTAATCCCACTCACCTTGGTAAGAAAGCTCGAAGCTTCCTCGAATCCCAAGGCCTTCACCATCGGTATCGAGATCCCGGGTCTTAGTTTGCCTGAAATAACGAATGTGGTCAGAGACTGGGGTGGGATAGAGCAGCCGTGGGCAGGGAACTCGGGACCTGGCACACCCAGTTCGGACTGTGCCTCATGCTTCTTGCCTGTTCTCTGGCCCCAGCATCCACCCAGCCTCATCTCCCCTCCCCGTGCTTCCAGCACAGTAGCTGGTAGCTCCAAAGGGCACTCTTCACCTCCTCCCACATCTCTGCTAAAGAACAGCCAGAATGACTGTTCTGTCATAAAGAACGACCTCCCTGTCATTCACAAGGGAGGTGCCTGTACGTTGAGATTTCCTACTCTAATAAAATTATGAAAAAGATGTCGTTGGCATAGGTTAGTAATTCACCTCTCCCTCCCCAACTTGGGGCTTAAGTAGAGTAATTCCACCTTTTCTCTTGACTTCCACCTCTAGTAACACAAATAACAATGCAAACATCAGGAATAGTTAAGAGACGTTGAGACCCAACTGTGCCAGGCACCTCCTTCAGCCCCTTAAAATCATCGTCTCCTTTATGTGCCTGAGCAAGGTACTTTTATTTTCCCATTTTACAGATGGAGAAACTGAGTTAGGATGATAAGGCAGCTTGCTCAAGGCCAGGTAGCCAACAAGAAGGGGAATCGGGACTTGAACCCAGGTCTACCTGAGGCACCTTGAGCGTGTCCTAGTTGTCTGTTTACACCTCTGTCTCTCTGCCATCAGCCCTGTGAGGCGGAAGCATTGCCTGGTTTGTCTTTGCATGCCTATGTACTGGTACTAGTAAAGGAACTGGGCTGGAAAGTTGGAGATGGGAGAGGTCATTTCTAGTTGGGTGACCAGCAAGGCTTCCTGGAGGAGGTGGAATTTGGCAGAAAGTGAGATGCAGGCAGGCGGAGTGAAGCATCCACCCTCAAAGCCCTAGGGAGTGGGGGGGATGGACGGCAAAGGGACGCACCATTCTGGTTTGGCAGTAGGACGGAGTTGAGGATCTCAGTGGTGACATTTTTCAGAAGTTCAGGCTGTGAGAGAGAGGGGCATTGTTACCTTGCCTGAGGATCCAGAGTCCCCCCCCAGCTATTCCTAGGATGGGTATGGCCCAGCCCCAGGATCAGGGCAGCCAGGAGACATACTGGAATCCCAGGCCTCTGCCAGTGAGAGCTGTGAGGGATCCAGGGGACCAGACATACTGGGGGCAGTACAAACCCATCTGGGGGATTGGGGAATATTAGAGGGATGCACTCCCTGCCCTCAGGGGCTCCACTGCTCTGTTCTAGCTGAATTTGCCCTGAGGGAATTTCACCCTGTTTCCCAACTTTTGACTTCTCTGGTGAAGCCAGAAGTTCTGATTTTCATGTGAGAACCTCCCCACTTAAAAATTAGCCAAAAAAAAAAAAAAAAAAAAAAAAAAAAAAAATTAAAAAACAAAACAAAACATGAGGACCAAAAAACAAAACAAAACGAAACCATGGCAGGAGACAGGAAGCAGCCAGTTTGAGTTCCCTGATCCACTCTGTCTCAGCTGGGGAAACAGAGGACCTCAGGGAAGAGGCTGTCCAGGGTCACTGAGATGAGTACATGAGCAAAATGAGATTGCAAAAAGAAGGGATTTGTTTTCTCGTTTAGGACCAAAATGTTACAGAAGAAAAGTAAATGTGTATCTGTGAGCATTTAGCACGTTCTCAGCTGTGTCCGGCATACAGCAGGTGCTCAGTAAACACCAGAGCCAGGAGGTTGGACTTTGTGGCTGATAACGTGGAGGCTGGCCAGCCCACCACGGGGCTGCCTATGGGGACCTTGTTCGAAGCAAATCCTGGTCAATGTCTGTCTTTGAAATGGACCATCCCGGACTATCCCCTGTGCCCCAGGGACAATCTATTAATACTCACGTTGAACAGGCCAATGCCTGAGTTCATCAAGTGGATGCGATCAGAACTGCAACAGAAGATGCCAGTGAGAATGGCCTCTCAGAGGCTCATTCATTCACTCATTCATTCACTCATTCAACAACTATTTATGGAGCACCTACTATGTAGAGCTTGACTTGTTCCAGCAGGCTCTAGTTTGCAACCCCTGAACTCCCTTTGGGGCAACAGGAGGGCTATGGGGTGTGGGGAGAAGTACAAGAGGCAGCTGGAGCCCTGTGCTTCTGGGCTTGGGGTCAGCATCTGGGCTTGACTGTCAAAGCCGCTGTCCTGGAGGTGTTTAGAATGAGCTGAGGGGATGGTGCTGGGCAGGCTGTTCCCATGGCTGCTGCAAGGCCACTTTCCTTTCTTTCCCTTTCTCTGACATTTGGTCCCCAAAGCGGGATAGTCCAGGCAATGTCACCTTTCTGCCCATCTAGGAGTAGCCTTTATTCCATCCATGCTCACACCCCAGAGATTCGAAACATCCCACTGGTCACAGGGTGAGACAGTGATTTACATGTTTACCTGATTTCGTTAAAGCTGAGCATAAGTCGGTCATCTCTGGTGTAAAACTGAGCTTCTGAGCTGGCTTCCTGCAACAAGAGAAGCCCAGGCCCCATTTCTTTCAGGAGTTGTGTCAAGCATGGGCTGTGAGGTTATAGAAGGAGGATCTGGGGTCAGGTCGACACTGTCTAGATCTCAGCTACTGGCTCTGACTTTGGGAAAGGGTTTGGCCTCTCTGGGCCTCGCTTTCCTCTTCTATTAAATGAGACAGTATTTGTACCCACCGTCTGCTGACCAGATTACAACATGGGGTTGTTGTGGGCAACGATGATGATGATTACAGCTGCTGATATGCACAGAGTCCTCATTGCGTGTCAGGCAGTGTTTTAGTAACTTTATCTGATTATCTCCTTTGATCCTCACAACCCCATGAAGTGGCTCCTATTATTACCCCATTGTAAAGGTGAGGAAACTGAGGGACAAAGAAGACCAGTAAGCCTCCAGTAAATGTTAACCATTGTTATTATTGGAAGGTCAGTAGCTAGCAAGGTCTCCAATATGGGCGTCAAAGATATACATCAACTTGACCTGTGGGCTGGGTGAGCCTGAGGGCAGAGCCAGGCTCCAGCTCCAGGTTGGATGCACCCAGAGACCAGACTTGTCCTGCAGGCCTGGGCTTGGTGGCCTTTTGAAAAGTGTCTGCCATTGGCCAAGGAGGGGCCAAGTCAATAAAGAGCGAGGCTGGCATGGGCAGTCCCTCCTGCTGGTTGTGGGGTCAGAATATCCTTTAATATAGGAAGCCAGGGCACTGTGCATCCTGTATTCTTTGTGAACAGTACCCCCTGACAGTGTGGGCGGACAACCTGCACAACTGTACGCAGCAACCGTGCTGTAAGGGGAGTGTCAACTTTAGTCTACCAACAGCCGGATACTTCCAGACTCCTTGGTTAAGCATGGTTCCAGTGCCCAAACATGAATCCTGCCTTGTCTTTTCCCTTTGCCCTTTGCCCTCTGTCGTGGATGTGGTTGGGGCCCCACTCAGATCTCCTCTATGGGGCTCTCTGGCAGCTCTCCCCGATAAATTACTTTTGTAAGAATCCTTCTCTTAGGCTCTGTTTCTAGGGCCTGACCCTAAGATACCATACTATTGGGATTATCCTTTGCAGACCCCCCACCTCTATACCTTTACCCACAGAGTCCCCCTGCTAAATGGAAACTCTGAGATGTGACCTGCTGGGGCTACTGGGAAAATCAATCAAGAACTTACTTGGAGCTGATTTAGTTCTGCTCATACTTCAGAAGAGGAATTACCCTTCTCCCCCTCAGTCTGTGTGGTTTGGATACAGCCAAACTCCCGACTCAGGTGTATTTTTCTAGCCACACTGATTGGTTCAAGAATGGGCACATGATCCAAGCTCATCCAATGAGAGTTAGCTTTGGGACTTTTGCTGCAACTACCCAGAGGAAAAGAGGCTGGTTCAGCTGATGTTGCCAACCTGATATCTTGATACAGCTTCGGGCACTTCCATGAGAAGATAATCTGTCTGAGGATGAAGGCAGCACATAGGAAAACACAGCTTCCAGGTGAGAAGAGAAGAATGAAGATGCCATTGTTTGAGCACCTGGATCCAGCTATTTCTGAAGCTAGACCGTCTGGACTTTTCAGTTATATGAACTAATACAATTCCTTCTGTGCATGTGAATTAAGTTTCTACCTAAAGATCCTAACTAATAAAGTCATAGGACCAGAGTTGGACCAAAGCTCCTGGTTCTTGATTCAGAACTCCCCCTCCCCCATCCCTGCCAAGAGTGCTGGAAACAGCAAAGCAAGAGGGGGTGAATAAGACCAGTGAGTAGGAAGGTCCCCCAGGTTGCTGCTCGTGCCATAGACAATTGGACTCACAATGCCCAGGGTGAAGAAGGGGCGGTGGGCTTCATTGGTGGCAAATACTTCCAGGACGATCAATTGGGCCACCTTGGCAGTACCCTGGTCCAGAAGGAGATCTGGGGTCTCTTGAGTTAGGATCTTCACCATCTGTGTGGGCCCCAGCTGATCCGCAGCCTGGAAAGATATGAGATCCGCATAAGGCCTCCCAAGTGCCTCCCCATGGCTCACAGGCCCCACGTAGCCCCTGTGACCTGGCTCCTGTCCACCTTCCTGGCCTCCCTACTTGCTTTCTGTACTTCAGCCACTGTCCTTCTCTCAGAGCCTGGAACGAATTCTTGTTCTCCCCATCTCACAGCCCTTGGTCTTGCTTCTCCCTGTTTGGAATACCCTTCTCTTCAGAGAAGCCCTCTCTAATTTCCTGGATTATATCAGGTGTCCCAGTAATGCCCTCATAACCCCTAGAATCTATCCCTTGTCACCACACTTATAACTGAAATATTATCTGTGTAATATTGATGCAGGTCACACTGCCTTGTTAGAATGAAACTCTGTGAGGACAGGGACCTGGTCTGCTGCAGACACTAGGGCTAGAAGGAAACGGAACAGTCCTACATGTATTTTACTCCTCAGAGGACAGTGCACAGATCACAGCGAGCACCCATCAAACTGCAGACAGCGAATGGACCAACCTTGGTACTGATCACCTTGATGCTTGACTTCAACTGGCGAGCCAGCTCAGGAAGCTGAGGATGAGGGGAAGGCAGAGTGGGTCAGCTGGAGGGGAAAGGGAGGCACACCTCCAGCAGCCCCATTGCCCAGATCCCCAGAACCCCAGAAAAGCTGGTGGGTCTGATGGTCCAGGCCCCATGACTGTCACTGGTGGAAAACAGCCCCTATGTCAGCTGCTGCGGGGCATGGGGTTCTCACTGGCCTGGCGTTTTACTGTGAGTTGGTGGTTCTGGGTCTTGGGCAGCTCCCTGCTCCCTGAAGACATAGAGAAGTGACCCAATTCTTACTATTGTCATGAATGTGGTTGCCAGTGACCATTCCTCTTTTCTCATCGTTTTGGTCCCTTACTCTTGAGTTCTAATCTCCAAGACCTTGGTTATCTGTTGCCTATCAGCTGACCCGAACTCCTGCCACCCTCCCATAGCTTTGGGCCTCAGTTTCCCCATTGGTCATTCGAGAGGATGGTGACACACTCCAGCTGATGGGTGGTGATTGTCTGCTATGCTGGGTTAATATAAGGATTCCGGGGCCGTGTCGGCATCTAGGCTCAATTGTAAGGAGGACCCTGATTGATTAGTGATGTCTGCCGTGGGCTCCATAGTGGACAGCAGGGGCACGATTGCTGTCCCAGGACCACTCAATATCTAAGATGCCCTTTGGCATGACAGGACTCTTATTTGGTAGAGGAAGCAGCTGTATCATGTTCCAGAGGACAGAACTGGGTCTGGCGCTGGATGTTACAAGGAAAGTTGCAGCTTTAGAGCCATATGTCAGAGTCAGGGTCTGTTTGAGGAGGGGGTGAGCTCTTCATTACTGGAGGGATTTAAACTGAGCCTGACAGGGGATTACTGCTCAGAGGCTTAGGGCAGTCCTTGAGGCCCCTTGATTCAGGAAATTCCCATGATGTAGCAGTGGGGGCCCCGTCCTCTCATGCCAAGACTTACCACATAGTCCAACAGGACTATGAGTTCTTCTTGAGGGAGCAAGGCAGCTACAGCAGCATTCACCACATCCTGCCTCACAGTGAGGCTGAAAGGGGTGTTGTCCAGGGCGGGCACCGTTAGGGAAACTGCAGACTCTTTGAACCACTTGGTCACATTTCCTTGAGAGTTCACCAACTTGGCCTAAAGAGACACAAAGCAGAGAGTTGGCTGGGAACCTTAACTCCAAAGTCTTAGCCAATAGCAACCTAGAAGAAAATGACACCATTCGTCCTGTTTCCCTTTTTGCATTTGCTGACCGGAAGCTTAGCCCGAGGTGATGAGTTATCTAAGGTGGCCAGCAACCTCTACTCCTCTAGCACCCCTCAGTTAATCTCTGTTTTTAAAACCTAGATACCTTATTTAGCATTTAGGTTTTAAGTTCTCAGATATCTCAGAAACCCTTTGGGTGAAGGGAAAATTCAAAACTGCAACAAAATTGATAAAAATGTTTGATTGTGACAGCTTCCCAAAAGATCCATGAAAACTGGCCTGGAATTCAGGCTTTCCAGGTTGGCCAGGTCCCTCAGGGACTCCAGCCCCAGTGTGAGTGCACGGCCTCACATTTTACAGACAGCTGACAGTTACTGGCCCCCTCTGCCTGCCACTTCATCTTCTTGGTGACTTTATTGTCTACATTTTACTGATGGGGAAACTGAGCCTCAGTGAGGTGACAAAACTTGCCCAAAGTCACACAACCAGGGAGTTGTGGAGCTGGGAGAGAAACTTAGGTCTGTGTGATCCCCAGTGATGGGTGTTGGTCCTGGGCTCTTGTTTCAAAGTCGTCAGATATTTGGGGTTTGGCAGGGCTTGCCTGAGAGGAAGGCCAAGAGCACTGGTGCGTACTCTGGCCTCTGAGTGGGGAAACCGGGGTCGGAGGACAGATCACTGGGGCTGACGTTCTGCGTGTAGCCCTTGGATTCCACCTGCTGGCCTTCCTCCATCAAGATGGTGTGCGTGGGACACGTTCGGCCCGTGGAGATTTTTCTAAATCAGCCTGTGTGTCCTAACCCTGAGCGGTATCTTCTCCCCTGAAACAGACCCGTGGTGTCTGATCTTTGGCGGTGAGAGAAGGGCAGTGATGTCCCTGCTGTACTTTTGAGGCCCCATGACACTCACCCCCAGCTTCAGCTGGATAACATTACCCTTGATGGCAGGAGACAGAGGGTCAAACTCCAGGTAGTTAGAGCCGAGGGAAATGGGCGCTGCTTGAGACAAGAAGAAAGTTCTGTGAGGGAGGAGGGCAGTATTGGGCAGGGCGCTTTGGGGGCTGCATTCGGCCGGTTGGGCTTTCTGTTTGTAGGGAGGAGCAGGAATAGCAGTGTTGATAATGATGATGGGAATGACATTTACTGAGCGTATGTCAAGCACCGCAGGCTGTGCCAAACCTTTACACTTACACTCATTTGGTCTTTGCAGTAACCTTAGCAAGTAGGGCCTATTATTACCCCCATTTTACAGATGGGAAAACTGAGGCTCAGAAGAGCAAAATGACTTGCTCAAGGTCATACTGTGAAAGGATTTGAACCCAGTCGGTCCTGTGCCAGAATCCTGGTTTGGAACAAGACTGAACTATTGCTTATAACTCTCCACCTCCTCCAGGGGATGTTGATCTGCATGCATTCTCCCCCCCCCCCCCCCCCCCCCCCCCCATGGGACAGAGTACTTGGTGCACGCCCATCTATGCAAAGGATTGCTTGTGTTTGCCTCAGGATTCCCCACTTGGCCGCCAGGTGGCAGTGGTGTCTCATCTGCCCTGGCTGTTGGGCCCGGGAATGGGCGGGGCTGCAGAGAGGTTCAGAGACAGGCTCGGGCAGTGAATTCTTGGATCCCCTGCTCCCCTGGAGAGACCTCCTGCCCTGCTCCTGAGGAACAGAGGAGCCAGACAGACTTCCCTTTGAGCCTCAGTAGCCTTGGCTAGTCTGTTCCTACCTCTGAACCTCAATTTTCTCCTCTTAAAATGGGGGTAGGTATAACAGTAATACGTGCTTCATAGGTTGTACAGGACTGGTACCTATTTAAGTTGGCTCATATATGAAGGACTCCAGACTTGGAACTTGCAGAATTGAGTTCAAACCTTCCTCATCCCTAATTTCCTCTGTGAACTTGGACAAATGACTTAATTTCTCTGAGCCTCAGTTTTCTTATCTGTGAAGTGGGGTAATGATGGCCACTTCATGGAATTATCTGAGGAGTCACTGAGGCAGTGTATATAAAACACCCAGCCCAGTAGGTGCTTTGTGGGTGTTCAATGTGTACTAATTCCATTCTTCTCTCCCCCCTCCTCCCTGGTCACCCTTTGAGTGAGCTTCTTCAGATCCTGAAACAGTGGATGGTAGAATTTTCTTCTTCCCGCTAATCCCCGCTCTGAGACCTCTGAGGACAGTACAGTTGTTACGTAGGGACAGAAGCCTGGGTCCTCCCATCTCTGCTACTCTTGGGAAGGGAGAAACAACCTCCTTCCTGAGCACACATTTTGTCTTTTCCCTTGTTTTCTCTCCTCAATAAGCCCACAGTAATTGCTATAGCATCTGTTTATTCATTCATTCACTCATTCATCCATTCAGCTCACATTTGCAAACTCTTCTCTGTGCCAGGCAGAGCACCTGCCGTGTGCCTGGGACTTTCCTGTAAACTTGTAATCCTCACTAACAATCTTGTGAGGTAGGGATGTATGAGCCCCATTTTACAGATGAGGAAAGTGAGGATAAGGAAGTGGAGTGGCTTTCCCAAAGTGATAGAACAAGTCAGTGGCAGACCTGGGATTTGAACTTGGAAATTTGGCTCACATAAACTTGCACATGGTAGGTCCTTGTGAAGTCACAACTGTGGTGAATTCCTGTCTGCTTATCTTTGGGAGGGATCCATGGATGCTCATTCACTTGCTGCTGGGCCAAGTTGCTGTGCAGATGTGACTTGGGAGGCCTCTTCTGGGCAGAGCCAGAGCGTGGAGGCCAGCTCGGCAGCAAAGGAAAAGGTGGGAGAGAGATCACATACCCCTCACCAGGCTCAGGAGGTCCACATGCATGTCCTCAAAGGCCTCCTTGATCACAGGACACAGCTGCAACAGCACAAATGCAGAGGCTCCATTACTGAGGGGCCGGACCCTAACCCCATAGTGATCCGTGTCTGGCCCACCCAGCCTGAGCCCATGTGTCCATGGCCATAGAGGTTTTTGCCTATGGGATCGAGGACTTGGTGTTGTGTCCACTCCGCCAGCCATCCGTGCCATCCGGAGCCCTCCCCAGCCCCTGGTGTTGCCTGGGATCTTTTGCAGTGGTTTGTCCCTTCCCCTATGTCCACGGTGTGCCTGGCCAGCCAGCTGCCCTCCCCATCAGACTCTTTGTCCTGTTCACAGGAGCCCATGTTTTCCTTAAGAGGGAAATGGAGAATTCATTTCTTCATTCACTTACTTATTCAACCACTGTTTACTGAGTTCCTTCTGCATGTCAGACTCTAGAACGGGGGCGGGCAAGGCAGACCCAGCCAGACTTATGAACAATCTCTGTGCCTTTTGTGGGTTTCTAGCTCCAACATGTCCCTTTGCCCAGTGAGCTCTTCTTCCCCTAAAACTGCTAGCAGTTCTCAGCAGGGGGCTGATTTTGTTGCCTAGGAGATATTTGGAAATTTCTGGAGACATTTTTAGTTGTCACAACTGGGGGGGAAGGCTTATCGACGTCTAGTGGATAGAGGCCAGGGATGCCACTAAACACCCCCACAGAGTGTGGGACAGCTCCCACAACAAAGAATTACATGACTCAACTGTCAGTAACGCTGAAGGTAAGAAGCTCTGGTCTAACCTAATCCTGGCCTCACCTATTTTGCTTAAGGAGGAGGTTAAACCTTTCACTCACTTGCTCATGGGACTCCAGAGCCTTTTTCTCTGCTCTAGGCAGCACATTTTCTAGGGCAGTGCACTGAGACTTTGTCACTTTGTCTTAGATGCAATATCCCTGGTGGAAGAATCTTCTGCTTGACCACCCATTGCCACTCTTGAGAGGGGACAGTGCACTTTGAGAAACTTTTCCTATGAAAGTTTTTTATGAACAGTTAACTTTTTCTGTGAAAAACCCATTCCCTACCCCTAGCTGCTTTGCCAACCCAGAACCCAGGGAGGATGAGGGGCTTGGGCTCGGAGACCCACTCACCTGCCAGGGACCAGCCTGTTCCTCATGGGAAGGGTGTCGCTGGCAATCATCTCTCACAACTCTCTTTCTTTCATTTCCACCAGTGGCTCTCAACCCTAACTACCCATTAGAATCGTCCGGGATACCAGCTAGAACCCTCTAGGATACTAGGGCGCCACCCACACCCATGACATTGGAGTATCTATCAGTATTTTAAAAAGCTATCCCAGGGGCGCCTGGGTGGCGCAGCCGGTTAAGCGTCCGACTTCAGCCAGGTCACGATCTCGCGGTCCGGGAGTTCGAGCCCCGCGTCGGGCTCTGGGCTGATGGCTCAGAGCCTGGAGCCTGTTTCTGATTCTGTGTCTCCCTCTCTCTCTGCCCCTCCCCCGTTCATGCTCTGTCTCTCTCTGTCCCAAAAATAAATAAATAAATAAATAAATAAATAAATAAATAAAAAGCTATCCCAGGTTGTTCTGATGTGCAGCTGGGGCTGGGCCCCACATATTTATACTGGAAAGGGCTTCAGCATTTTCTAGATGGGCTCCTGTCAGATTTAAGCATGCTGTGCCTTTTCTCTTCGTTTCAGGCAAAATTTTCACATGACCATTGAATCAAATCCACTGAGTCACAGTGGGGAAACGATAGTGATTAACAAAATGCCAATTTTCTCGAATCATTCATTATACTTAACTTTCACCCTTAAAAAGAGATATTATGCAAAGAACATTTTTATGCCATATTTTCTAGTGGAAAATACATTTTTAGCTGGTGAAGTATGATGCCAGTTAAAATATGATTTTGTTGGAGACTGGCAAAAAATTTCTAGCTGGGTCCTACTTTAAGAAACTCCTACCTCTAAGCAGAAATAAAATCTTTTTTTTTTTTTTTAATTTTTTTTTTTAACATTTTTTTAATTTATTTTTGGGACAGAGAGAGACAGAGCATGAACGGGGGAGGGGCAGAGAGAGAGGGAGACACAGAATCGGAAACAGGCTCCAGGCTCCGAGCCATCAGCCCAGAGCCCGACGCGGGGCTCGAACTCCCGGACCGCGAGATCGTGACCTGGCTGAAGTCGGACGCTTAACCGACTGCGCCACCCAGGCGCCCCGAAATAAAATCTTAAAAGAAAAAATATCTCATGTAAGAAGAGACAAATTTTACAAAATTCTTCATTTTCAGATTCTTTTTAGAAGTCTCTCTGCATGGTTTAGTAAAGTATTAAGTATGATGCAGCTATTACAATAATTATGAATGTTATATAGTGGCATAGAACATGCGTATAGTTTAAGGACTATTAAATTATATTGATGCTGAGAAGAGCCACATAAAACTATGAATGCATATGGATGGAGATTGGAAGGCAATATATACACAAAAGAGAGAATAGGTGCCAAGTTAAGGTAGAAGGATTATGGGCACTTTCCCCCCAAGTCATTTCAGTTATTATATCACCTTTTCAATTCAAAAAAGTTTTATTATAAAGAACATCAGTTATCTGACAAGGTGCTTTGATCTCCAGGAGGCCCACTGTGGTGAACCCATCTTGAAATTTACAGTGGAAATCAATGGTCAAAGTGAATGAATCCAACTTACAGTTATAATTCACTGTATATGTGCCCTATAAGGGACATATACACTGAGATTAACGTATGTTTATTGCCTCAGAAAAATAGATCCAGCAGGGCCTGGTGGGGGACACACCCCTGAAGACCACAGGTTGATCAGGTTGATAGGAGACTCATGTATGCTAGAACCAGCCTGGACCACTTTGCAAGGGCCAAGTGTTAAGTTTTCAGGAATTTCTGAGCCATGTGCTAAACCCAGACATTATTAAAAATTAAATTCTAAATAAATAACTAAATAAAATAAATAAAAGCAAAGCTCATGAGAATTCAAAACTCATCACTTCCTGATTACTTTGTTATATTTTACTCTTATCTATTGCTCTTGAGGTTATTTACGTCTCTTGTATCTGTGTGGCAGAAATACCATACAATAGTGTGCTCCTGTGCCATTCTTCCCAACTCTGCTCAGTGACATCACATTAGTAGCTTGAAATTGGCCTCAGAGGAAGTGTTTATACCAGAGAAATCAGCAAGTGCTTCAAATCAGGCTTCCTTTCCCCTCAACCTCTCGAGAGTCGGTTGTTAATAATTTATCAGCACATCGCTGTTCAAGGCCTCCTGGGTGACTTCTGGCAGTTCTGTTACCTTTGCCTCAATGAGCCACTGAAAGAATGGTCAGGCCCAGAGTTTTCCTAACTCAAGGAGACACGGGGCCCTTAGCACCAGCTTGCAGTTCCACCCCAGACCCACAGGGGGGGCAATCTTTGCAGGCCAGAGAGGCCGTGATTCCACTTACCTGGGTTTTCACCAGTTTGGGCAGGGCTGGCACCAGGAGGCTCATGACCTTGTTGGCTAAGGAGTTGACCAGAAAGGAGAGCCTTGCAGAGAGGAGAAGGGGAGAGAGATTAGGAAGGGCCAGAGATGACGCTGTTTTATAGAAGGGAACACAGAGCCCAGGGGAAGAAGACACTTGCTCATGGTCACACAGCACGGAGTGTGAAGTAGACCCCCAGCCAGATGTAGACGGTGGCAGAGACTTCTCACGAACTAGGGGCTGGGGGTTGTCTTTAGAAATGTTTGCTGGAGACTGGGATGATGGCATTGGCATTTGTCCCCATTCTCCTGATAAGAAGTGGAGGAAAGCACGTTTTTGAGCACCGGCTGTTTGCCATGCACTGTGGGGAATGCTTATGGCTGTAGCCCGATCTCGTCCTGTCACTGTGGCCTGGAAGCGGAGGCATAGGGACGCACCTTGCCAGCATTGCACAGACAGTAAATGAAGACGATGCATTTGCCTGACTCCAAAGTGTGTTTTTACCCAATGCTCCACTCAAGGCTGCCTGAGGTGGTTGGAGGCGCCCTAGGAATGTGGCTCCTCTCCGCCTTCAAATGTTTGCCCCACTTCCTGGCATGATGCCTGAAATCCCACCATCCTTGATTCTGCTCTTGATGTCTCGAACTTTCTTTGGCATCACAGATTCCCTGGAAGGAGCTTCAGCTAAGAGTCAGGAGGGATATAAGTCACTTTCTTTCTCTGGGCTTCAGTGTTCTCCAACTGTAAAACGGGGCAAGGCCACGTTCCCTCCCGGGCATGGTGGGAACATGGAGGCAGGTGGCCACACTCACTTTTGCAGCAGGCTGATGCGAAGGCTCCCATGGCTATTGGAGCAGTCCTCGAGGACGAGGTGGGTGTGGCCCCTCTCACTGGCGTTCACTGTGATGATGGCTTGGACCTCTGTCTGCATGTTCATCTCCACGATGGTCTTGACCAGGGGCCTGGGAGTGGAGGTTTCCGTGCTATCTCAGCCCCAGGTCCGGGCAAACATGCAGTCTGTCTCTCTCACCTCCCAGCTCAAGCGCCTCTGCTGATTCTCTGCATCTCCCCCAGTTTCCACCCCACCATGTCCCAGGCTCAGGGTTTAGATCCCTCTCCTGGTTTAAATCCTCTGCATATATCAACAGCTCCCAAACTGATACCCAACTCCGTACCCAGATGTCTGACAGGTGCTCAAATTTAACATGTACAAAATTGAACTCCAGCTCCTTCCCCAAACCTGCTTCTCTCATGATCGTTCCCGTCTTGGTTGCTGACCACTCCATCCTGCCAGTTGCACAGACAAAGTCCCTGGGGACAGTCTTGACCTCTCTCAATCTCTCTCTCTCTCTCTCTCTGACATTCTGTCCATCAGAAAATCCTGTTGCTTCTACCTACCTCTGAAACATATTCAGAGTCTGATCACTGCTCACCACCTTCCTGCCTCCAAACCCTGGTCCAAGCCATCGCTGGCTCCTCCTGAATGTAACAGTAGCTTCTGGACGCCCTCCCTGCCTCCAAACACACAGCCAGAGGGATTCTTTAAAGTTAAATCATGTCTTGTCCCTCCTCTGCTCAGAACCCTCCATGGTTCCCATTTCACTCAGTAAAAGCCAAGTCTTCACCTTGGCCCACAAGGCGCCACAAAGCCCTCACCTCCCACCATTCTCCCCGCCTCTCTCCACTCTCTTTGCCATTATTTGGACAAAGCAGGTGCCTCAGGATCTTTGCACTTGCTCTTCTCTCTGTTTGGGACTCTCTTTACCAGATACCTGCCTGGAGAAAAGGGGCTATGTGTAAATGAACCTGTCAGGCCTGCTGTGTCTGACTGAGGAGACACTCACGTGTTGAGTCCAGCCACCATGTCCAGGGGGATCTTGACCGCTAGCCCTTGGCCTTCATCTGAGGGTTGCACCAGCAGTTGGAGGATGTTGGCTGAGGTGACTTTCAGCCTAGGTGGGACAGGGGACCGATGAAATTCATACCTTATGCTCAGCTGAGTATCATCCCCAAACCTGCCCACTGCATCTTTTCTGTCTCCCCTGGTGGCCAGCCAGGGGTTTCTGCCCAGCAGCTGGACCTAAATCCTGTCCCCTGACTCCTCGCCAGCATGGCCTGGCCCTCTCCCTCCCTGTCACCACTGCTCAAAATGCTCCCATGATTCCCCCATGTTGGAGACTAATCCCAGTTCCTTGGGCTGACTTGGAAGACTCTTTGTGACGTGGCCCCGCTGACCTCCGTCCTCACCTTGGGGGCTTGAGTGCCAGCTCTTCTGACGGACTCTCACCAGTCTGTGCCTTTGCCCAGGCTGGTCCCACTGCCTGGAATGCCATTTTCTTCTTGTCTTCTGGTGAGCACGGAGTCATTGGCTCACCTGTTCCCTCCACTGAGAAGTGTCACTCTATCCCTTCACTCTCCTACCCCAGGGGACCTTCCTCTGGGGTCACCCTGTTAGGGTACCTGTGTCACTCTCTTATGGTCATCGTTAACTCCTCTGGGAGCTTCTGAAGGAGGTGTGGGGAATGAGCTAGCACCTAGGTCTGTCCCGCTCCACTCACCAGATGATATGGTTCAGGATGGAGTTCACCAGGTTGCCGAGTATGGGGATGCCCCCGGCTGGCTTCTCCCGTATGGTGCTGAGCAGTGGCAGCTGCTGGAGGATGTTGACGGCGTTGTGATCCTTCAGCTCCTGTGTCAGCCCTGGAGGCAGATCCTAGAGATCAGGGTCCAGCAGGAGGGGCAAGACGGACGGCATGGCAGTGGCTTCAGGCTGGGAGGGGGCATCGCTCAGGGCTACCTGGACCCGGACGTAAGGGCAAGGGGATGGATGACCTTCTGCTGTGGAGACGTGGCTTTGAGGATGATGGTCTAGATGAGCCGTTTTCACATAAAGACAAAGGTAGGGGCATAGGTGGGACCATTCACGCTCCGAGCATTGCCAGCCTCTGCGGGAACACTGGCCAGGATACAGGCGTATGGACCTGCATCCCTCCCGCCAGCCGGCAGCAAGCTCTGGAGCCAAGAGGCAGGGAACCCACAAGACCGTGTTGGGGCTGGTTTTGCTGCCAAAACACACTTGCTAACAATTCTCTGGCACCCACATCATATGGGCCTGTTGTCCAAAGAGCCTCAGGTGCCGAGCTGAGATAGGAGAAGCCGGGAGTCCTGGGTTCTGGTCCCTGCTGGACTTTCTCCCCGCGGCCAGAGCCCATTTGGCTTGTATGAAGAGCAGGTCAGAAGTTCCAGCTGCTTCAGAGGCAGCTCCAGAAGCAGCCCTCAGCCCATGACTGATGGGAATCGCGGTATAAATACCCCAGCTCCCTCAGCCCGCAGGCAGGATGACCCAGGTGTGTGTCCCCCACTGTGTCCCAGAGTCCCTGTGTGTTACTGCCTCTCGGCAACAAAGCCGTCTTTTTGTCTGCGCTGTGACGATGGAGGTGGGCCCCATAAATATTCCTCCTCTGCCAGCTGGCAAAATGTGGAGGCTTGTCCATGGAGTCTCTGGAGGGACGTAAAGAAGGAAGGGGCCCAGTGGAATCATGGAATTTAAGGGAAGATCTTGGAATCGTGGACTCTTGAGATCATAGACACTCCTAATCTTTATAACTCATCCTCTCGAGTCTCACCCTGGATCTGGGATCGCAGCTGTGCCTTGCACACCCCCAGTGATGGGGGACTCCCTCCCTCCTTCGGAGGGCCACTCCACCTGCCCTCTTGCCTTATGGCGGTGAGGCTTGGGCAGCGGAGACTTACTCTCTTTGATGACTTCACGGCCGAGGCTAAGAACCGCAGGGGTGCGGAGGGTGGTTTCAGCCAAAGTCACTGCCAGCAAACCACAGAGGAGGGTGAAGGTTAATGGGCCAGCCATCTTTCTGGGGATCGGTGAGCAGCGCGTGATAGGTGAAGGAACCTGGGGTGAGCACAGAAGGCCCTGTTAGCTGGGCAGAGAGGTCAAGGACAGGCCCACCATGCCTGGTGACTTGGGGCATAAAGTCCAGAAGAGGCTGTTTAGTGAAGTGGTTAAGAGTGTGGGCTCTGGAGCCCAACTTTTGGGTCTGTGTCCTGCCTCTGCCACTAGGTGCTAGTTGTGTGGCCTTAGATAATCAGTTTAGCCTCTCTGCCTCAGTTTTCTCATCTAGCAAATGGGCCTAATGAAATAGTACCTGCCTTCATAGAGTCTGGCACTTAAAACCCTCTACAATCCAACCTTGGCCAGCTTCACCTCCTGCTTATTCCCCTCTTGCTCTATAAAGTTCCAGTCATTCCAAACTGCTCGAAGTTCCCAGAATATAACCCCATTCTCTCCTGTTTCTGTGCCTTTGTTCTAACTCTTCCTGCTTCCGGTAGTGTGTTTCCCCTTCCTTATCTGCCTGCTGAACTCTTATTCATCCTTTAAACTCTGCTCACATTTCCCTTTCTCTGTAAAGTTTTTCCCTTCCTGCAGTCAGAGGCCCTGGACTATGCTTGGAGAAATGCTGCCTTGGGGGCTGCTGTGTGCCCAGGACAGGAAGTTTGGAGAAAGGAGGGCAATGGTTATTCAGGTAGGACGCAAAGTGGGCAGGAAATTTGCTTGATTGATATGAAGGGGACTGAGAAGGGATTGGTGGCTGCTTGAACCCAGGGAGAGAAGGGCAGAGAGAGGGAGGAAGAGGCCCATGGGTGCCTCCTGGCAGAGGGACTTGGCTGCTCCTTGGCTGCTCTGTGCCCTCCATGGGCAGAGCATCAGCCCCTGGAAGCTGGTCCTGAGCCCTCCAGCCTGCACCCTGGCTCAGTCTCCAAGCCCCCAGGCAAACTTCTGCCTCCTGCTTGGAGGGAGGGAAGATGCTGACCTGGAGATCCAAGCCCTTGCTCGGCTCAGCATGTGGGTTTCTTGCTGCCAAAGACAAGCATGGCATCTGGATGGCATGTGTCTCTCGGCTAGGGCAACATGAGCTCTCCAAGACACTTGCTATAATGGTTCAACATCTGTCTCCCAGACTGGGCTGTGAGCTCTGGGAGGAGTGTTGGGTCTACCTGCTCCCCATTGTGTCCCAAGCACCTGGCATTGTGTCCCAAACACCTGTGGGTGTCTAATAAATAAATGGTTGCTGAATGAATGAATGGCCTCGGGAGCCTTGGGAAAACGGGGAATCTGAGCCAGCCCAACCGAGCAGGTTTGGGCCATCAAGACTGAGAGTGGAGGAGAAATATCATGGGCCTCAGGGCCAGATAGACCCGAGCTGGAGGCCTGCTGCTACCGCTTGCTGTGTGATCTTGGGCAAATGACTTACCCTCTCTGAGCCTCAGTTTTCCATCTGTAAAAATAAGGGGTAATTATAGTACTTGTATCACAGCGTTGTTGGGAAGATTGAATGAGCCACAAGTGTTCATGAGTATTGGCTGTTTTTATGATGATGGTAGTATAACTAATACTGGGGTCAGAAGGAACCACCTTGGAATCAAAGCCAGAAGGTAAGAGAGGTGGTGCCCGGCACCCTGCTTTTCTGCCCAGGAAGCCCCCACCCCACTCCATAATCTTTTTCTTTCAAACACCCTGACCCTATTTCCCTTCATTATCTTTGCACACCACCCTGTCCTCTGATCAGAGTGCTCAGGGAGCCAATAGTATGGTAGCATCCCCTCCTGTGGAAAAGGGTCTCCTCCCCAGATCCAAGCACCATACCCACACCCGCCACATCATGCCTCACCTCCTGGCCTTTGCTTATGCAGTTCCTTTTATAATGGGATGCCTTTCTCTCTTCCTTTGTCCAGCCAACTTCTGCTTGGCTTCTCAAGTGACATGCCACCTCTTCCAGGAAGCCTTTCTTGACTGCTCTTTACCACAATGTCCCTGGTCTTTCCTTGAGCACAGCATGTATCACACTGGCCCATGTTGGGAATTACTTGAGGGCCTGGTTAGTCTGATACTTCTCTTTGTCCCCAGAATCACTCCAGCATAGAGCTGGGCACAGAATAATTGGTGTGTGCAGGGTGGGTTTATGTCATTGGGATCAGGCCAAGGAAAGACTCAGCCAGTCCAATTCCTTTGTCACTGCTCTTTGGTCTTCTGGGCAAGGGAGCTGAGAGCTGAGAGCCTCTACCCTCTACTAGGAGGGTCCTAGTGGACTAAGGGAGCTTACCTCCAGGACAGGCCTCCCTCCTGGTCTTGACCTGACTGCAACAGGTGTCTCCAGCTTAGAACCTTTCTGGTGCCCTAGGCTTTCAGGCCGTTTCCTACACCTTTACCTGGACACGCCGGAGTCCTCAGTCTTCTCTCCTCGGACACTGGGTCTGGAAGTCTAACTTATATCTTACACACCCCAGTCTGGGAAGTCACCCTTTGCATTTGGGCTGAGACCTTGGGCTGGGCTGAGGTCTCCAAGGTAAATATTTGTGGCTGCTGGTGAACCACATCCCTGCCTGGAGGCAGCCTTGGGACTCCAGCTTCCCAGGATTTGGAGAGAGGAGGGTCTGGGCCGCCATGAGGGGTGGGCGGGGCGCTGGGGCACCTGGCAGAGGAACTGAATCAGGCACAGTGTGGCCTGTGAAAGGGGCTCCCTGCCTTCTGGGCAGTCACTCCCACGGGGACAATGATGAGAACGGTAGCAGTGACGATGTATTAAGCACCTACAACATGGCAGGTGCCACCCTAGGCTTTACATTGGTCGTGTCAATGGAGCCTCGTCCCCACCAGGATCAGTACCATTATCACAACGTCACCACGGAGGAACCTGCCTCACACAGTCAGCAAATGGCAGAGCCAGGATTCAGCCAGAACTCTGACTTCAAAACCTATCTGGGGATGTCTCTACAGCTTGGCAGATATAAAAGGTCCTGTGGACAGTCTGGGTCCGAGTCCTAGCTCCGCCATTTCCATGATATGTGACTTGGGGGACATCCCCTAACTTCTCCAAGTCTCAGCTTTTCATCTGTGAAATGGGAACAATAGTAGCACCCACATACTAGTATGCTGAGAGGAGCACAGTGGACATGGCTCAGAGCATAGGTCCTGGCACAGAGTACGTGCTCAATAAATGTGAGTGGTTGTTGCTATGTTATCACTGCTTGTAATAGGATGGGCCTTTCTTTGCTGTGTGACCCTGGGGAAAGTACTTCACCTCTCTGGGCCTCAGTGTCCTCATCGATAAGGTGGGGATGATATAGTAGCACCTCCCACACAGGCTGCTGAGAGCGTGAACTGAGGTGCATGCTCACGTAGCACTTAGCAAGTACTTTCAGTGATTCACTGGGCAATGATTATACCCACTGTGCCTTGCGTCCGCCTTCAGGAATCTCCGCGAACATGTGTGGAACGAATGAGTAATGAGGCATTCCTGCGAACCGAGGGAACAAAGCCATGGTCCCACAGGACCCCTATCACCCACCGCCTGGGTACAAACCTTGCCTCATTTAACCTGCGGGCACTCAGACAGGTGTCGGCAGCCCCGGGCTCACCAAGGGCACCTGAGGCTCAGGGAGGTGGGTGACTTGCTCCAGGTCCCACGGCCAGGGCTGCCAGAGCTGGGACTGGAGTCCAGTCTACCTAGTCCAGACCACAAGCTCTTTCCACCCACTGTCCTTTCCCCAAGTGACTCCAGGCCAGTGTCGGGAGGGCGGGATGTGAACACGGCCTTTTGACGTGATCTGGGGAGGCATCCTTGCTGCCCTGCTTCGATTTGTGGCTTGTGGCTCAGAGCTGAGAGGGCCATTGCTGAATCTTGCAGGGGGACAAGAGAGCGGCAGTGAATGCCCCGAGGCCCCTCAGTGTGTGGGTGGCCTGGCCCTGGCCCCTCTCCCCCTCCTGGAGTTGTCAAGGGGGAAAAGGCAAGAGCATTTGCTATCCTGCTGTGTGTGCAAATGTGCCAAACACCCAAAGACATTTTGGGAGTAAGGGAGGCCTCCTGGAGGGGTCTTGCCAGTCCCTTGGGCGCGTCTCCAGAGAGCCAAGTGCTGCCTCTTGTGCTCCTCGGCTGGTCATGCCTGCTGCCTGTGAACAATGCCCCTCTGTGGGAGGCCTGCGTCCAGTGCCAGGGCCTGGGCCTGCCTTAGCTCCTGCTTCCTGCCTCTTGGCTCTGATACACTCGCTGGAGTCACCATGCACGACTCCTCTCTGTTGGCCTGACACACCTTGGAGCCCAGGGCCGGCATGGCCCTGTGCTCAGTGCCGCTCAGCGCTCCCATCAGACTGCTGACGGCCTTTCTGTCCCGCTCTCACCTCTTTCCAGCTCCCAGGCCTTTGCTTGTGCTGTGTCCTGTTCCTGGAATGCCTGGTCCATTCCCTCAAAGGTCCATCTTGCCCCATCTGGGCAGCAGGACAGGGGAAAGCCTTTGGAGTCTGACAGATGTGGTTCAATCCTTGCTCTTGGGTTCATCAACTGTGAGGCCACAGGAAAATTGCTTCCCTCTGTGAGCCTCTGTTTCCTCAGTTGTAAATTAGGACTGTTTTGACAGTCACACATTCTTGGAACATCAGAGAATTCAGTAAATGGTAAATGCTGTTATTATTGTTGGAATATTAATGTCACTGATCTTCAAGGCCTAATTCAGAAGGCAAGATCTGCATAGAGCTGCCCGACTGTTGCCCCACCTGGACCGATATCCTCCCGGGAGCCCCCAAAGTACAAATTATTTACTCTCTTGGGATTTGGATCCTCTTCTGCCTTGAGAGATGTCCACTTTATCCATCCACCCATCTATGCATTCACTAATTCATTCCAGTCTCCTCTCTGGTCTCCCTCTTCCCACCCTTAGTCCCCCCCCAACCCCACCAAAATCCAATTTCCACCCAGCAGCCTGAGTTAGCTTTTAAAAACTTACTCAGATTTTGCCACATCTGTGCTTATTAAC